GACTTCTTGTTCTCCATCTCCAAACCATATCAAGGACTGCCAAAATTTCCCTACAAAATTTATCCCCCCGCGCCCCCCCCCCCCCCCAAAAAAAAACAGAAACCCTAATCGAGAAACCTGTTGTGCCTATCTATCTATCTATCTATCGATTAATCATCGGGTCTCCGTTCCTTTTTATCCATCAAACGGAATCTCTCTTTGTTTATTGTTGTTGTTGTTGTTTTTGTTCTTGATCGATTAGGGTTCTTAGAAGAGCCGGAAGCAAGGGTTTTCGCTTTTGTCCAGATCCGGAGGGTGAGATGGCGCAGATCCAGCTTCAGCCCCAGGCGGTCTCTGGCCCGGCGGCGGGCGGTGGTGGGGTCCAGTTCCCATCGACGTCCTTGTACGTCGGGGACTTGGACTCGGGCGTGACTGACGCGCAGCTGTATGATATTTTTAGCCAGATCGGGCAGGTGGTGTCGGTCCGTGTATGCCGCGATATCAACACTCGCCGCTCCCTCGGTTACGCCTACGTCAACTACAACGATCCGGCGGACGGTACGTTGAACTGTTCGCTCCCTTCTTTAGCTCGTTGGTATGCGTCCATTTTGTTTATTTGTTTTGGGTCATTGCACCCTAACGTTTGCTTTATCAAACGGCATATTTGTTCCTGTGACGAATTTATATATAGCAGTTCGATCGTTTGCGAGTCGACACCTTACATTTAGACTGTATTGACATTGCACTATCGTTTTTGAACTCCATTTTAGATCTATACATGTGTTTGGTCAGATTTTTGTTGTCCTAGGTGATAATGTCCTTGTTTGGGATGTACTTGTTGGGCCCTTTTTATAGTGGCCTTCAGAAATCGTTTTCATGTTATACGCTACTCATGGGGAATGCGATGCATCGATCTTGGGCCCAAATGTTATCACTCTGCGTCGAGTTCCGAGTTCGGGATAGACTATGGGGGAATATTAATTGGTTGACTGGACTAGACCATCTAATGTTGGCATGGAGGTGTCAGCCACCTGGCGTCGGGGTTGGCTACCTAGCATTAGGACGCTTGCTACATGGCCCCGAGGCATCTATCACTTGGTGTTGAGGCATCGACCACCTAATACCAAGGAGTTGGCCTCTTGGAATTAGGGTGCCAGGCTATCTGGTGCTGAAGTCAATGTTTTAATAATCGCTTGGGTGAGGCGTGGTGAGGCCCGAGTGCCTCGCACAACCTCCAGGTGATGCGATTCATTGATGCGTCACTTGGGCGCCCACTTGAGCCCAAGCGTCGAGCGCCTCGGGCGTGCACTCAAGTGAAAGTGGCATAGCACAAGAAATTGGAAGAGAAATGATGAGATTTGAAGAGAAAGGGGTCCAGGCCAAAAGAAGGGGCATTGACCTGAAGGTGAATAATACAGAATTGATCAGTGCTCGACGATGGAAAATCGATCTCTGCTCGGCAACGGATGGGTGGGCAAAAGATGTGATCTCGTTAGAAGGCACAAAGCTAGAGTTTTGAAGGCGGGATGGGAGGGCAAAAGTGATCTCGTTGGAAGACGAAAAGATAAGGTTTTGAAGACGTGATGCGTGAAGGATGTGAGAAGCAATTAGTGTGCTGTTAAGTAGACTAAGTAGCACACTAAGTATTAAATCGCAATAAATAGCACTCTTGTTCTAATTTCATTGCGTCAAGATGCCAATTGACTCATTCATTTCTAGATTTGGGTCAGAAATGATCCTATCAAATGGGATTGAGCTCAAATTATTAGTTAACTCAGGCATAATAGTCAAAGAATTACACCTTGTAATATATATTTCAAGTTGGCTATGTGATTTCAATATGATGTGACCTTTTTTTTTTATTTTTTTGATCATATTTATTAATTATAATATATATATTTTTATATTCTTATATTTTGGAATGCCTCGCTTCGCTTTGGTGAGCGCTGAGTGCCTTGGGTGTATTGAGACCTTGGCGCCTAGCTCTTTTTAAAACAATTGTCGAAGTCTCGATCACTTGGCGCCAAATTGCCGTCGAGGTGTTGGCCACCTAGCGTCGAAGTGTTGGCCACCTAGCGCTCAGGCATCGGCCATGACACTCTTTCCCCTAACAATACACATTCTGTTGATGTAAGCATATTCTTAGAGTGATACGTGCTATCGGCTTGGGTTTGATTTATATGCCATGTTGATTGGCTTGCTTAGAGTCTAGCATTCTGTTTAGGTTATGATTGTTTGTATTCTTTTTCTATTGCTGTTTGGTCTGAATGAACCTTTAGGTTGCAAAGATTATGACATCTTGTGTTTGGTAGGTGAGGAGTAGCTTTTGTTTTAGTGAATGAGTTGCGATTGATTAGTTTGTGCTACTCTAACTAGATTTTACAATGTTTAACCAACCAGAGACGAAGTTTTGCCATATAAACACGTATGCATATGGAGCGCTGCAACTTGCCTATATGGTGTAACCAACTCTCTAAGAGATCTTTTTTGTGGATTTGGTTTTGCTTTGAAAACATTGATAAAGTGTCAATGATCTTAGCTCAGTCAATTTCCATTCTAAAATTCTTTTTTCAAAAAAGAAGGAAAATAAAATGACCTCATTACTTTGCTGTTGCATACAAGCAGCCTGATGAAAAATTATGAACTACTTGTTAGAGGCTTTGTTCTATATGATGTTGTGGCTTCATGCAGTTTTAAAGGAGTCATCAAATTCATATTTGTGGAGCTTGTACTATGAAACCATTGAAGAGTGGTGGATGAGTAGTTATTGCATTATTGTGTTATCAGCAACAATAATTTATTCATTTCTCCATTAATTATCATCATAAAACACAAATGTTCATCCACTGTTCACACATTCATCTCGGCATGCCTAGCTGTCTCTTTGACCTTAAAGATAATGACAAGATGTTCCTTGGGTACATAGAGGAGAGAGAAGAACCAATGAAGCATAAAAGATCAGCTGGTGGTTCCCTGTCTTTCAGTTGCACTCTAAAGTTGCTACCATTTACTTCGAGTCATATGACTTTAAGGATGAGCTTGTGGAAGTTATGTGATGATTTGGACCTGTGTAATGTGAGGCATGATTTTAACCGGTTGATTAAAATTGAACCAAACCAATTTTAATTTATAAGATATCAATACGGTTGAGTTCACTGTCCTAAGCCCTTAACTAGTTCAAATTGATTAATCAAATCGACCTAAAGGCTCAATTTTATAAATGACATGAGCTCAATTTTATAAATCTTGTTATGTCGCCCAATTAGAACAAGATTCTGATTTGGTTCAATAGAATTGAATCGGTTTATTTGAAATATGTATATTTTAAAATTATTTGAAATTATAAATCGGTTAATTGAATCTGATTAACTGGTTGTGAATTGGTTTGGTAGGTAGATCCGAATTGGTTCCAATTCTGACTACCTTACTTTAATTGAACCAACAAAATGGTGTGGTTCAGTTCGACCCTTAAAGCTTCGGTTCAAACCGGTTGGAACACCCCTTATGAAAGCATATTTTTCTGCAACTTCATTAGTCGTTAGATATTGGTTTTTTGCATGTGCAACAAATCATTTGTTCCTGTAGAAAAATGAATATTTCAGATATACTGTGTTTTCTATAGCTATGCCTACTTGCATAAGCAAAAAGTTGAAGTGCATATGTTGTGTCTGAAGAAAATCATGCATTGCTCTCTTGAACTGTGGTTTTTCTTTTGGCAGCGGCAAGGGCAATAGAAGTGCTTAATTTTACACCTCTTAATGGAAAGACTATTCGGATAATGATTTCAAATCGTGACCCCAGCACACGTAGAAGTGGGACTGCCAACATATTTATTAAGGTATAATACTCGGTTTACTTTTGGTTCATTGAAACATGAATTTGTGAGTGGAATTTTTATGATTTTTATATGCTCCAGTAGTTATTACTTGTGCATTCATATTTCTGTGTCTTTTGACTTTTGTGTATGGTTTTCTACAGAATTTGGACAAGTCTATAGACAACAAAGCACTGTATGATACATTTTCTGCATTCGGGAACATTCTTTCTTGCAAAGTTGCAACAGATGCATCTGGTGCGTCGAAGGGCTATGGCTTTGTTCAGTTTGAACAAGAGGAGGCAGCACAAAATGCAATTGAGAAGCTAAATGGCATGCTATTGAATGATAAGAAAGTTTTTGTTGGGCCCTTTGTTCGCAAACAAGAAAGAGAGAATGCTGCAGGCAACACAAAATTTAATAATGTTTTTGTAAAAAATCTATCGGAATCAATGACAGAGGATACTTTACAAGAAGTTTTTGGTGAATTTGGAATTATCACTAGCTGTATTGTAATGAGGGAGGGAGATGGAAAATCGAAATGCTTCGGCTTTGTCAATTTTGAGAATCCTGATGATGCTGCTCAGGCTGTTCAGGAACTTGATGGGAAGAAATTTGATGATAAGGAATGGTATGTTGGAAAAGCACAAAAAAAATCTGAAAGAGAACAGGAACTAAAAGAGAGATTTGAACAGAGTAAGCAAGAGGCCACTGAAAAATCTCAAGGGGTTAACTTATACTTGAAGAATTTGGATGATAGCATTGGGGATGATAATCTGAGGGAACTATTCTCTGGGTTTGGGGCAATTGCTTCTTGCAAGGTTCTTTTTAGATTTGTTTAGTTTAAAATATTTCTTCTCTTAATATACTATAATTGCTACTTATTGATTCATGTAGTTAAAATATTTTATAGATTATGCGTGACAAGAATGGTGCGAGTAAGGGATCTGGATTTGTTGCTTTTCAGTCTCCTGAAGATGCTTCTCGAGCTGTAAGTTGAAATCTCAAAGTTGTATTTTCACTGCTGGTTATTGCAATCTGTTTGTTGATGTGCCATTTAAATTGATATAGCTCTCGGAGATGAATGGCAAGATGATTGGCAATAAACCTCTTTATGTTGCTCCTGCACAACGCAAAGAAGATAGGAGAGCAAGACTGCAGGTACAATTTTTTGAATCATTGTGAACTATATGCTTGGAGACTAGTGTTACTTTGGTTAAGCAGCAAACAACAACAAAGACTTGTTTGATTATATCAGGACAAAGAAAGAGTTGCTTTAATTAAGTTTTGAGGGTTTCACTTATTTTCATTATTTTACTTGAGTCTCATGCTTTTATATCAATAAAAATGTTTATATAATGATAACAGAGTTCGCTCTAGCAGTATGCATGTTCCAGTGCATCTTTCCTTGTACATTTTTGTGATACCTTTCATATGGTGACACGATTTGTGTGGTTGCTTTTGCTGATTACCTGTATATTTGTTTGTCAGGCTCAGTTTTCACAAATGCGTCCTGTGGCAATGCCACCTTCAGTTGCTCCTCGTGTTCCATTATATCCTCCTGGTGGTCCTGGATTAGGACAACCACTTTTCTATGGTCAACCACCAGCACTTGTTCCTCCTCAGGTAGCGCACCTATTATCTAAACAAAATTAAACTGCGTGCTTTTTAATGGAATGCTATACTATAATTTCATGTATTGCCGGAAATTCATGTATAGTAGTGATTATTATGTAGTCAAACCAGTGTCTTCTTTTTTCTATTAATGTGCTGTATACCAATATTAAAAGATCTACATAGTGGAGTACAAATTCTAATCTTTTTATATAACTCCCTATTAAATCAAATTAGTAATTGGATTTTATCGTGACGGAGGAAATTGGATTTGGTTTTCAGACTAATATCAGAATTAATTTATAATCTGAATTGGTTGGGTTGAGGACCCTTTAGAACTGAATGAGGTTTTGTGCCAGTTTTTGACTGTTCAGGTTGTGCTGTCATTGTTTTCCTCGAAAACTTGTGTTTCTTTCAATTAAATGATCAAACTAGTATGTTCTGTTACTATCTATACAATTTTTTTTTATATCTTGCTCGAAGCTTATTCTGAGCAATGTTTTTATTCTAAGAACCATCCATGGATTCCATTGCATGACAGAGTTGATGATATCTGTGTTCCAATGACTATGTTGTTACAGCCTGCATTTGGATTCCAGCAGCCACTTGTTCCTGGGATGAGACCTGGACCCTTCCCCAATTTCTATATGCAGATGGCTCAACAAGGTCAGCAGCAGGTTCAACGCCCTGGGAGTAGACGTGCAGGAGGAGGTGGTCCGGTGCAGCAGACGCAGCAGCACCCCATGCAAATGATTCAGCAGCAGGTGGGTGTGACTCCTTTTCTTGTATTGAGTATGCTGTTTACTCGGTTCCAAAGCCGCTGTCTGGTTATGATGCATGCAAAAGCCCATGATGGCATGTGAATGCTGCAGATGCTCCCAAGGGGCGGACGTCCCTACCGCTACCCACCTGGCCGCGGCATGCCGGAGGTTCCTGTGTCTGGTATTCATGGCGGTATGTTCTCTCTCCCATACGACATGGGTGGTGGGATGCCTCAGCCCACTGTTCCTATTGGAGAATTGACTTCAGCTCTGGCAAATGCAACACTGGAGCAGCAGAGAACGGTACGGGCCAGTCTTGAGGAGTTTGCACCATCAGATAGATGATGGAAGTAATTGTGTGTTTTGGGTTCGTCTATTATTCTTCTTTTTCCTTCCTGCAGATGCTGGGGGAGAGTCTATACCCACTCGTGGATCAGCTAGAGCATGACTACTCAGCAAAGGTAACTGGCATGCTCCTTGAGATGGACCAAACTGAAGTGTTGCACCTGCTGGAATCCCCCGAGGCTTTGAAGGCCAAAGTAGCGGAGGCTATGGAGGTTTTGAGGAGTGTCGCTCAGCAGCACCACCAGGTGGTTTCGCCCACCGATAGGTTGGCCGCCCTGACACTGAATGATGTGGTCTCTTGAGCTGAGCTGATCCACACACCGTTCCGACGACTCCTTGGGTGGATCTGAGTTTGTGCTTAGGCGAGTTTTGAATGGGATTTGACTTTACGATAGAGATGATGGACTTGGTTTTTGGTTTCGTTGACCTGTTCGTTGTTTGCTACTTAATGAGACTCCTTTCCTTTGTGAATCTGCTCTTTTATTTGAGACTCCTCGGTGGGAATCTACTCCCAATCTTTTCTAGTTTTGCTTTTTCCGAACCCTAGGCAGAGGAGAGAGAGAGAGAGACTTAAAAGAAGAGTAATATGCTACTAAAGTTGAAGAAAGCAACACCTAATTAATAATGACACAAATCACGTTTTAGATATTTAGGTCAATCTTTTCTCTATAATTTTTTTAAATAAAAAACTCAGGAAGCCCCTCTTAAAACGATACGATACAATCACGCTGTATAAGACTTTAGCGGCTTGTTTGATACGAGTTACATCACTCATTAGAGTGATGGACTTCTTCACTTGGGTACAAGTTATACCACTCATCTGCAATGTCATGTTTGATGGGTTAGCGGCTTTAACGCCTTTGTTTATCTCGTGCAAGTGTAGGAGGACAAACAAAACAAGTAAAAAGTTTTCTGCTGCTGCTGCTTTCTTTCCCTTCGCCTCCTTTTTCTTTAACTTGTTTTGAAATTAAACGCATGATGCCAAAAGCGAGGCTGTGAAATTAAAGAGCCACACACCAAAGACCGCAAAGCAAGCAAGCAAGCAATAGCCAAATGGCGTGGTGAAACCCCACCAATCAAGCCCCCCCCCCCCCTTTATATCACCACCTCCACTGCACACCCCAAGCTCATTCTCCCCATCTCGAGAACGGAAGACAGCGGCAGGAGAGCGTTGAGACAACTAGTAGAACAGATATCAGAGAAGCATGGAGAAGAGGAGCCACCGCCAACTGCGCCTCCACTCTCTCTCCTCTTCTTCTTCTCCTGTTCATCCTACTTTAGCGTTTTAGTATCATGAACAGAGCCTACCGGTTTGTAGCAGAAGAAGAATGGCTCTTCTGTCGCTTTTGGATCATCTCTACTGCCAAGAAGACAACTTGGAGTTAGAAGATGAGCGAATAGAGTCGGTGCTGCCACTTGCAGACGACCGTGAGACCGAGCGCTACGTCCTCTTGGCGGCGGAGGCTGAGGACGAGGAGGAGTGGGCGGAGGTGCTCTGCGCCCTCGCGGCCAAAGAAGTGGAGGCTTTGGGCGACCTCGTCCCTCACGGCTGCGGCGGCGACTCCTACTTGCCGTCGGCGAGGAAAGCCGCGGCGGAGTGGATCGCGCGCGCCGCAGCTACCTACGCCTTCTCCGCCCTCACGGCGGTGCTCGCCGTTAACTACCTCGACCGGTGCTTCCTCTCCTGCGCCGCGGGCGGCGGGCTGCTCCGGCTCCGGGACGGCAAGCCGTGGATGGGCCGGCTTGCCGCCATGGCGTGCCTTTCGTTGGCGGCGAAGGTGGAGGAGACGCGCGACCCTTTCCTGCTCGACCTACAGGTGCCTGCGACGCCGGAGGCGGCGGAGGAGGATGAAGGCGAGTTCGTGTTCGAGTCCAAGACCATCAGGCGGATGGAGCTTCTGGTGCTCTCCGCCCTCGGCTGGAGGATGAATCCGGTCACCCCCCTCTCCTTCATCCACCACGTCCTCCCTCGGCTCTTCTCAAAGGCCGAAAACGCCGACTCCCCGGCTACCGCCATTGCCGTCCGAATCCAAACGGTGGTGAGGAGGTGCGAAGCGGTTCTTCTATCCGTAATAGCCGGTAGGTTGTCGTCAAAATGCGAGCTTTACATGAAGGTTTCGATCTCTTCATGCCACCATGTCCTTAAAACCCTGCTTTGTGCGTCGAAAAGATAGGAGATGGGTCCAATATCCTGCATCAGTCTGGGCATCGGCTGCGCTGCTCCGGGCTACGGTGCCCGTTGACGGAGATGTCGCAGCTGTAGATTCTCAAGGAATCCATCACCTCGTTGCCCTTCTCAACGCCCCAAAGGTTCGATCTTTTTGTTTCCTTCTTCCTTGTATCGGTCTCATTCAATGCACTGATGCTAATCGGGTGAAGCATTCTGTAGGAAAAGGTGGAAGAATGCTATCAGCTACTCGTGGAGTCAGTGCGCGCCGGCGTTGTCGGCCACAAGCGCAAGCATTCCTCTTCCGCTTCCTGTTACTGTTCATCGCCACGAAGTCCCAGCGGGGTGATCGGATCCTGCTTCAGCTGCGAGAGTCCATGTGACTCATGGGCAGCGTGGCCGCCGTCATCCCCCCCGTCCTCCCCCGGGGCGGCTCCTCCCTTCAAGAGACCCAGTGGCAACACCACCACCAAGTCCTTCGTTGTTGACGGTGTGGAAACTGTTTCGATCTAAGTAGTATCAATAAAAGTTACGGCAATGGATCGCAGAAGCAGACTGCCTTCCATCTCTGCCATTGAGGAGGCCATGGCTGGGAGCTCCAGGGAGCAGTTTTGGTTGCCAATGGAAGCAATTGAAGAAGGTGGAGAGACTTCTGAAAAAGAACGTCTGATCGCAGAAAAAGGAGGCAGAGATGGGTGGCATTGTTCTTTTCGCCTTTTAAATTACATGGAGAAGAAACTATTGCACTTCTGTAGTTGATCCCTACTGTTCATCTAGCTAGCTCATGTCCTTTCTGTTCTCTCATCAATGCATTGCCTTCCTCTTCCTTCGAGTGCCAGCATCTTGGAACAGTTACGAAGTTTGCTCCTCATGTCTCTACCATGCAGTAACAAACACCGTTGGGCTGCATCCAGCTCTTGGTGCAAGGTTTGATGGATAGGAGGCCTAAACAGAGGCTAAGATAGAGGAGGGACTCGGAATGGGATTACATCACGAGAGAGAGAGAGAGAGAGAGACCTGTCAGTGTCCACTAGGCCAGTCCATGCGTGCCTAGTGCTTACAGCTCGGCTGTGCTCACTAGAGAGAGATGGGTAGAGGGAGAACGGGGAAGGACTTTGGGAGTGGGATTTCGACCAACAAGGAGTACAACAAGATCTCTCCTCTAGGAAGGATTTGGTTGGTCTTCTTTCATAAGCTTTGGCCTTGATGAGAGGTTAAAGACTCTTAGCCATCAAGCAGCAGTATTCTGGTCTTACAAGAGGACGGACACCCACCAGTCCTCCTGCATGTGATGCTTTTGCTTCAACTTTTCCTCGCTCGTTCCAAGGCACGCACATCACCTTCCTTTGCGGCAAGGATTCATCTCTGGATTAGGTAAAACTTAAAAGCCACCTTTGTTCCGTTGTTAGGTCATCCATAGACCTCTAATGGAAAAGAGGCGAGGGGATGGTGAGGGAGCCAAGGACCAATGAGTGTGCCCTTGAGTCCTGTGTCCTTGCGTTCTTAGCTTTAGCTCCTACCGAGACGAAAAAGGGAGATGGACGACGGCCACTAGCCCAAACCATCTCGTCCTCCTCCACAGTAGATGATGGGATGTGAAAGGGCGAGTGGAGTCCGCAGTAGCCTGCACAACCGGGATTGCTTTCTGATCTCTCTGCAGTCACCATCTCTGTGGGCTTTATGCATACATAATCGTGAGACCACCTCCTTGACAACCCTGCAATCTTGGGATGAAGATGGGATGAAGCGGGTAATCCACGACCAACCCTGCAAGAATACGATGCACATAGCTGTGAAATGATTGCCAAACATCGAAGCTTTGCTACATTATAAAAAAATGATGTGAGGAGGCATAGGAGACAAGAAGACAGTCATCCACAAAAAGTCTGATCAAAGTTGAGAAGACAAAAAGTAAGGGTGGATTCAAGAAGGGAAAGATCTGCAGCAACCAAGTCCAATGGGGGAATCGAGCTGTGAAGTAGTAGTAATAGTAGTGGTCTTTGAATTGAGAGGGCTCTTCCAGGTTTCTTTAAAAGCTTCACTCGTCTTCTTTTCCAAGGTGTGGACTTTCTTTTTGGCCTCACAAAGCATCAAAAGATCAACCTATACCCCACACAATTATTATGGAATGATATCATGACCAACACTTTTTTTTTTCTTTTGACTTGGTCTTCCATACTCTTAGTTTATCATATTAAATTATGCATAAAATATGTTTATACCAACTCAAATAAAAGATCTAACGACTGTACGACATATCTCAATATAAGAAAAAAAAGACAAGAAACTGACAGAAACTTTAAATTATATACCTTCACTTTGCAAGAGTAAATGCCCATAGACAGGTGTGTAATTCCCCACAGCTTCGAGATGTCTCCGGAGCCCAATTTATGGCGATGAGATGATGATGGGGTTGTTGGCTTGGAGGCTCATCTTGTTCACGGGTTTTGAGCCAAGAGTGGATACTGTTACCTCCATGGCTGCCACAGATAATTGCACCACCGCAGACTCCGAGGAAATCTCATTCAATATCAAATAATGCGACTGTTGGCAACCTTCCAGAGTAGGAGAGAAAGCCTTAATGTGTCCTGACGACTTGTATGTACTCCCTCTGCTGTCCCATTCCAACAACACTGTTCATAAATGAGCTGGTCATAGGCCTTTCGTGAGCTCCATCAGAGCAGCAGTTATCTCTCTCTCTCTCTCTCTCTCTCTGCACCAGCAGCACTTGGTGCATGTGGATGGGGTTCTGAACCCTGCTCTGAGCCAGTTTGCATGCCTTGCATGACTCCTGGGGGAAGATATGATTGCTTCCTCATGAATACGAGCTTTGAATTTTAGGCTGAGAGACAAATGATTGATCCCAAACTTTGTTCTTATCTTGGTTGGATGAATGGGACTGCAAGGGTAGTTGGAAGGCTTTATAGAAGGTCCCGACTGGTGCACACTCGGGCCACCATTTTGTCAAATAAACCTCACAAATGTGACCCTCTGACAACAAACTCCACTGTGGACCATCATGTTCTCGTCTGAAAAAGAAGAAAAGAAAGATTAACAAGAGACTAGACTAAGATCTATCTATCATCACATGGTTTGACAAACATGTCATGAAATGCTTAGGAATTACCTCCTCAATCATCAAGCTCCGCCACTGCATGGAAACATCACATTGTCTTCACTTCCAAAGTTTGACTATAACAGCTTAGCAGAAAACTCTTGTGACAGCAGGCACATGGAAACAAACTTGAACAAGAACCTAAAGCGATGGATGATCTTAAACCTAACAGTGTATAAACATCTTGACAATCTTAATCTGATGTTAAATCAAACTTTAGTGGGGAAAGCATACCAAGATTTGACATGCCCGACACATGTTATCTGCCTTCTCCTCACTTAAGCAGATCTTAAGAGACATCAAACAGTTGATATACATTCTGGCACATAGTAGAAGCAGTAGCATACACAATGTGTTTGTGCTCGACATACCTGTGAAGGCTCTTCCACCTCCAGAGGACTTGTGTTTTGCAGGGTTTTTGTTGACCTCCAAACCAAGTCATCGATCGGTGAATGGTGCAGCATGGAGGATCTACCAATCCATTTTTTTGTACCAAATCTCTTGTAACAACAAGTAGCATAATATGCCTTCGTTATTGTCCTTCACATTGATGTCACATTTTAATACTATTTTTATTGTCTCAGGAAAGACATTGTAATTCTGCAGCGATATGCAACATGTGAAAGGTGGGGATGAATTTAACTTAAGAATGAGACTGATACATTCAGAGTGTGTATTGAAGACAAGCACACACATTCATGCCTCCATTCGATTGCTCTAAAATCGAAGAATTTATCAAACATCCCATGACATAGATGGCTCTAACACGAAAGATTTGAACACAGCTTACTGAGAAGGCATTTTAGTTCACAGTCAACTTGATCAACATACCAGAAAAGACTATAACAAGAGCTCCACCAGAAAATACCATAAATTGGTTCATTAATATTGACATCCATAAACACAGGTGATGGTAGTGTGCTGATAGGAATGGTTGCCGATGCATATGGATGCCTGGGGTACACAATGCAAGCAGGATGATTCAGTGAATATGTTAATATAATTATCAGTCCAAAACTCAGTATCATCAAAAGGCAACTCAACACTGTGATTTGCATTGACAAGCAACAACGTTTACCACCAGATCTTCATTTTAGCAGACACGCCAAACATTGTCATTTAAGTAGGCTTCCAAATGGATTTGATGCATGTCATGCAAAAGATTGGACCGGAATCTTAAAAAAAAAAATGCGAGATAGCAATATTCAACAATGATCCCAATTTCGGAAAAAAAAATGTGCAAAAAAAGAAATATATGACAAATGCAAGCAAACAAAGTTAGTAATGACATTGAAATATTTCAGAGAAGGCACACAATATCACCTACCTCTCAGATATCCAATAATTCACTAAATCTGATGTACAGTCTAATCTTGACTAGGCTCAGAATCTTATATGAATGCATAGCAATTAATCCAAATGACAGCCATTACATCCCCGAGTATCTTCTAAATAGCCAATATTGACTGGGAACAGAAAAGAGGAAAAAGGTTCATCCAGCAATTTCAAGACACAGCAAAAATTTTGAAGCACTTTATGGTATGTTCTTTGAGATGATCAACAACCATATCAATATCGCAAGCATCTTCCTTTCTAGTGGTACAACCAGTTCAAAGAGAGAATGGTGATATTGACTATTCAGGACCGCAATTTCAGCAGGGAGTCTGTGGCCAATTTAGCATGAGGACCAGCATACATCAACCAAAAGACACTAGCTTAGCCTATTTTGGTGGAAACTAGTGTGCTTTGGCTTGTTATGGAACCATAAAGACTGAAACTAGGAAGGCACCAAAAGAGCAGTGCATCACTCAAGAGCAATAAGTAAAACTTAGTGTTACCTCAACCAACACACACCCACACACTCACCCCTCTTTCCTGTGTCCCGACCATGAGACATCTTTTTCTCTTCCTCTCTATATTATATGGTCTCTTTCCCTTGATGCCCTCTATTCTCCATATACTATACCAATTTGAGCATCGACCAACATAGCACTACTATCCAAGAACAAGACTGTCCCAAATTCTGTCGCCACATCAAAAGGAGCAACCTAATTATGAAGCCACGCCCTCTACTATTGCCATATCATGGATGATATATTCTCTCTTAAATGTGGATGATGAGAATTTGAGGATTATAGACTCATATTTATGATGTCAAGCAAATGGAAGAATGCAGAGTTGAAAAACCAAAGGGAGTATGCATCTGTGTGACAGAATCTAATAACTTGCAGATGATTTACAACTATAGGACCATTTGTAACCAAACTAAGTTCTAGCAGATGATCTAATCTACGACTATAGGAAACTAATAACTAGTTCAACCAGAATATGGACCATTTATAACTAAAATAATAACTAGTTCAGCAAGAATATGGACCATTTCTTACCAAACTAAGTTCTTGCAGATGATCTACCAACTATAGGAAATTATAGAATTTCAGCATAGTCCAACATGTATAGGACCAGTGGTGCTTCATTCCAGTTGTAAATCAGCTGGCTTCATTCCAGTTATAAATCAGCTTGCTTCTTTCCATGTTTAACTAAAGTCACACCACTGGCAATTGAGCAGCCAAGTAAACAGGCTGTTCAACAGCTTGTTCAGGCTGTTCAACATGTATATGGACCAGTGGTGCTTCATTCCAGTTGTAAATCAGCTTGCTTCATTCCAGTTATAAATCAGCTTGCTTCTTTCCATGTTTAACTAAAGTCACACTACTGGCAATTGAGCAGCCAAGTAAACAGGCTGTTCAACAGCTTGTTCAGGAGCTTCCGCCTCACTATTGATGTGGCAGCTGGCATGGCAGAGTGATGTCCCATTTGCTGAAAGAATTAGCACCAAGGCCTGGCAGCTGAATTATTTTTTTATTTTTAACCTAAGGTAGACATATTACTTTGTGAACTTTATGGCTTGTGTCACTCCAACTAAGGCAGACAGTGGTTAGAAAGGTGCTAAAAAAATCACAATCTGGGAAACTGAATTGCAATGCCAGACCTCAAATGGAAAAAGCACATGTGCAAATTTAAAGCATGTAGCATTAGCATCTAACAATACATGTGATGGCTGCAGATTCATTCCAGGAATGTTAGGTCACATCAAAGGCCACAAACATGCTTATTATAGTATAGACAACATGGGATATACAACCACAATACTAACCCTATCTCTCCATACGCAGATGCCATATATTCACATCAAGTGTACGTATGAATGTATTCGTTTATAGATAGACATGGAGACAAGAAGCAATCAGCCAATAAGATATAAAGTCAATGAAAACACAATCAAACACATATTAATTAATAAGCCATCCACCTAAAATGATCATAAGAGACAAAGATCTGAATTTGACAGTAGACCAATGTATAAAAAAATGAAGATGGTTTCAGGAACAGCAATAATTTTCTTTCAAGTTTAAATTATTTAGGCCAAAGTCAAACATCATTGATTTTTCTGATTCAGGATCAATTTGTTGTCTTAGCATGATGGCACCTAACTCATGAACTTTATTCATGCAATATATCTAGAGTGAGATCCTACAAATTAAATGTTGATATGTCAGTACATACAGCAGTGATTCTGTTATTGAGTCTTCTTTTCTTTGGTTGGTTGTGCCTGTATTCGGCTTAAGATGCTCACGTACTGCTTCATGACCGCATCATGTGCCACACCAAACTTTTCATCAACATGATCTTGATACTTGTCATACAAAGCAGGAAGTGTGATAGGCAGAAGGACTCCTGCAACATGATAAATTCTTTTATACTAATGCACCAATAGAATGCAAAAGAAGATAATTCACCTAAACCATCCTCCCCTTTATCGAAACTAGTTCTGCAAAACTAACCTATGTAAACAAGGGTAAGGAAGTTGAACAGTCTCCCAATGTAGGCGATGAACCACAGAACCAAAATGACCTTTGAGATGAGATAGAGCATAGGAATCACCAGATCATAAAGGCGAGTCAAACAAACGACATTTAAACCGAGCCTAGAACATCTAATGAAGTGCAAGAGGAGCACCTGAAGGAAAACCTTCCTATCTCTCCGGATGGTTATGTCGTGCCCAATTGCCAAGACCCGATTGATCCACACCCGAGCCCTGTCGGCAGCCTTACCTACTACCTCATCCGAAATCTCGAGATTAGGAAGGGGCGGAAGAGGTCTGAGGGTTTGAAGAATTTGCACGACTTAGCAAGGAAGTCATCCCAAGAAGATTTGGAACAAACCGGATATCGACAGCAAACCTGTTGAGGAGCAAGGCAGATTTGGCCCAGAAGAAGAGGATGAGCACGAGAAGGAGGATGGCGTTCGCAAAGACGGACAAGAAGCTGTAACCGGCCCGCTCGAAGAGGAACCACACCGTCGTGGCACCGACCGCCATGAGAACCGCCGCGTTCCTGTGCCTCCATAGAAGCACATCGGCGACTGGACGAAGCAATAACATCCATAGATGAAAAGAAGGCAGCAGAGCGAAGCAGCGATGCGAAATCCTAGGGCAGTGGGGGTGGGGGGCGAAAGGCAATACCAGCGCCGCCGCCGAGGGCATGGTGCACAGATCGCCGAGTCCGGCCGGAAGGGGGCAAGGAGGCGGCGGATGGAGGCGCATCCGGAGCCAACGGGAGGTCGAGATCTTGCACGGCGGCCATCGGGATGGCTTCTTCTAGGGTTTTTGTGTTCGGCTTGTAACAGTGGAGAAGAATTGAAACGAGAGCTGCGAATGGAATCTCCTCTCCCTCTCTCCCTCTCCCTCTCCCTCTCGTCGCTCTCTTCGGGATCCGTTGCTCGTCGTTTAAGTTGCCCTCGGCAACGATGCGATTTCTATGCGTGGGTGACGCTCGCCTCTGACAACAGATTCAGGGTTCAGGCTCTCAACTGGCCGTGGAGTGGTTGGCGTAAGCGTACCCAGCGACGGGACTGTGGGCCCATGGTGTCTCTTGGCCATGTGCAGAACCTGTTCCCTGCGTGAGTGAGCACACCGTCATGAAACGGATCGTCCCCAATTCGTAGAAACAAAGGACAGCAGCACCAAATGATGGGGGTGAGTATCAAAGCATATGTTGACTTATAGTTGGAACCGCATATGTTTGACTTATAGTTAAAACTCGTTAGGATCCATTGATTTATAAAATTTATATTAAAATGTAAGTGAAATATCTAATTTTATTTATCCTAACGATATTATTGATAAAAATAATAGATAAAAAATAATTTTAATATTTTAATTATATTTTTGATAGTTACAGACATTGATATTATCGAGGACCACGTATACGTATAGTTGTTGTAGATGAATAGTAAAAACAACGATAAAAGTTGAGGTAAAAAGATAAAAGAAAGAGGACGACATAGATGCAAACACTTTGCATCATGCAGCTCAACAACTACGTCAACGTAGCTTAACAATTATGTCAGTATTGCTTCGTAATCGCATCCTCCATCTCTAACATAGTAGGACGACTTTCACCTCTCAACCACCCTATACCATCATTTTATAGTGATCCATTAAGGATTTATGAGCTTTTTCGTCGAGCTACCATTATAGACTTAGAAGTGGAGAAGCACGAGTTAGATAACGAGGAGGTTGTAGAGTGTAAAGGGGAGGTAGCAAGATTTGGGATCATAAGAAATGCAAAGAGGGTGGACTCATCGTGAACTTATGTCAAAGACACGACAGCCAACATTGAAGGAGTGGCAAGCAGCATAGATGACCTAGCGGATGTTATGAACCATGAGGAAATTAACACCATGAACGAACATGTCATAGTCCTAACAAAGGAAGACTGCGTCAGCTCGCAATAGACCGTCGCTCTTTCGTCGTTTTGTATTTGCGTCAACACTAACGTAGTTGTCAAGCAAAGACGATGCAGATGTAGAGCGTCGGTATCTTTATTGTCTTTTTCTTCCTCTCATTTTGTTCATGTCTCATCATCGCTCTCTCTCTCCTCATCTATAATAGCTATCCATAGCCCTAAGCAGCATCGTCATCTGTCACCGTTGAAAAGGTAATTGAGACATTGAGATCATTTTTTTTATCTATTATTTTCATACTTTCAATCGATAATATTATGGTAAATAGAGTTATATGTTTTACTTTTATAACTATAGAGATTCAATATAATTTTTTTAAATCTAACGACTAAAATATTAAAAAGATGTAACTAATGGAGTAACGTAAAATTATAATTAACCCAAAAAATTCTTCAAATTTTTAGAAGAATATTTACAAATAATCTATTAACACACCTATCGCTTTGATTAAGAATTCTAAGTACGTGCATATGTTGGAAAGTAATATTGGACGAGATCATATTTCTGTCAAATGGATTAAACCTCACTATGAGTAGGTAAATCATCAGTAATTATAATTAATATTAATTAATCATGTATAAAAAATATACTTAAACCAAATAATTTCCGGAAAAAGATACTACTCCAGGAGCAATAACCCATACATACGTTAAATAGTATACATATCCTTCAAACTATTGTACCTTACCTTGAATTACACGAAATATAATTACTTATAATTATCGATGATCAAATTAAGGCTATAATTATTTATAATATATTTGTTATTTTCCTCGATTGATTTGTTTTTTTTTTTTTCTCTTCTCCGTTACACCAAGTTTTTTAATTATCTTTTCATTTCTTTGTAAGTCTTATATTAAAGGAGCAAAAAATATTCCAAGGATTGGATAAAGAGTTTAAAATCTAGAGCCGTCTGGAATTTCCTAAGAGGTTGAAGAAGATACTCAATAATATAATTATTTTAAATATGATCACAAATAGCATTTCGATAAAAAGAAAAATAAAATTTCAGAAAAAAAACTCATCTTTTTTTTATTTTTTCTGCGAAGCATCCTCAATTCCAAAATTATCAACACTATCTCCTTTTTTTTTTTTTACAAAATACATGGAATATCTTTTTTTCTTTTTTTTCGTGTGGACTAATTTAGTTATTATATTTTTGTACTATGCTATACAAATTTTATAAAAGCATTATGTTTACGGTATTTTTACACTATGTTCTAATGTTTTTTATAATATTAAAAAACTATAATATAATATTTTAAATTTAATAATATTGAATAAAATATTATAACACAATTTCATAATATTATAATATCCTATATATTAATTTTATTATAAAATATTTATTGATATCACTAAAAAAATTATAACTGAACTAATTCACCCTATCAATCTGTGTGTGTATATATATATATATATATATATATATAAAAGAAGGTAAGTGGCGAAAGTATTTTAGGTATTAAAAAAAATTTGAAAATGTGAAACGTTTTTCGGAAAAATAAAAAAAGAGGATTTTCCAAGAATTCTCCCTAAAAAATCTTAGTGTGACCGTTGACTATTTTCATATGATGCATATGCATTGGCTGTGGCTAAATATCCGGCTGGGGATTGTAATTGCCTGACCCCGGCAGAACACCGCTACCTAACTCGTGATTGGGAATCACGTTGTGGGTCCGAGTTTTACAATACCTGGAATGAGGGAGATTTTAAACGGGTAGGTTGAAACATCAAGCTTTTATTCCTCGACCGTGGAACACAAGTTTTAAGCTAATTTGATTCCGCTGCCGTCGAACGTCATTTCAAGAAACCGGTCAGGTTCACTGAAACGGCACTCTGCAGTCTCCTATTTGATCGGCTTCTTATTATTCTTTCTCTCTTCGTGTAATCCATGGCGGCGGTGGCGGCGGCGGCGGGAGCCGATGGGTTTCGAGCTCTGGACGAGGCATCCTTGGTGGAGTACATCAAGGCCACGCCGGCTCTCCGCGCCCAGTTGGGCGAACGGTTGGAGGGCCTCGCCATTAAGGAAGTCGGCGATGGCAATCTCAACTTCGTCTACATCGTCGCTGGCCCCGCCGGATCCATTGTCATCAAGCAGGTAGTTTTTCTGACTATTTGATTTAGCTTTGTGCATTGTTTGCTGTATGCGGACTTCATGGTCACTGGGTTTCGCTTTCGGACCGTATGACTGTAGCTAGATCCGAGAGGTAGAAGGGTTGATACTTGACAAGACAAGGTTTCCGATGGTATGAATAATCACTTATTCACACTCATTCATTGAAGTAAGGCGTAGTGTTGGAAAATGGATTTTGAAGTAGTGGAAATGCATAAAAGCAAAGCACATAGGACTCAGGCAAAGCACAGAGATGTTTCCTTGAATACTACAACTTCTGCACAACATCGATGTAGGATTCTTCTGGAGATTCAGCCCCTGATATTCAACGCTGAGATTGCTAGTCTATCAAAAATTACAGTGGGTGTGCATAACAGAGATGTCTTTGAGAGTCTGGATGGCTGAAAATTGTTGGTGAGATGGAGATAAAGGGAAAATGGAAACTTATGTTGCAACCATGCTTGTGAACTGGAATATTTTTCTCGTCATCAATTTCTCCACTCCATGGATATTCCGTTCCTAGGATCTCTATCTAAGATATGAAATTCTTGGTTGATCTATGGGAACAATATTCGATTCTCAGTAGAATAGAAAGTGTTTTTTAGTGTCAATGACAAAACATTATTTAGAGGCAATAGGAAAGAAGAAACTTGCTAGAGATTGAAATATGAAGAGAGGGAAACTTCTTCATTTGTTTAGAGCTATTGTCATATATTTAGAGAAGTAGAGAAGTCCCAATCATGAGGCCATGAATTATATTAGGGGGAAAATCCAATTGTAATATTCTTGAAATATGATAATATAATGTGTTGCAACAAGATGACAGTCTGAGTAACATTGATGGGTTTGTAGTGGTCTATGGTTGGTAGACTGTACGCTCATGTTTCTAGCAACCACACTCCTAAAACTTATTATATAATGTTATATCCATTTGTTTGACTTTCTTATAAAGATTTAATTGTTTCGTTGATGTTCATGTCAAAATAATGGTTTATATGCATGGAAGTGCTAGTTTTTGATACTCATCTACTTAATGAATACTTTATTTGGTTTTATATGATTGACATGGCTTGCTTAGAACTGAAAGTGAAAAGTCTTTCAGTTTTTCTGTGTCGAACATTGTTGTTCCTCCCTTTGTAGTGTAAGAACAAAACCATTTCTTGTGTTTGAGTTTTTTCTTTGAATCTTTCTTCTGCATGATATATCACTTATTTGGAATTTTGCTTTTTGTTTAAAAATTATATGATATTAGCTGTATCCTCCTTTCTACTTTTCTGATGCTGAATCAAGTTGATCTCATTTGTCTGCATGGCAAACAGGCTATTCCATATCTTCGCTTAATTGGTGCTTCATGGCCTCTGACGAAGGAGCGTGCTTATTTTGAGTCACTTGCCTTAAAAGTGCATGGTAGTCTGTGCCCAGATCATGTGCCACAAGTTTACCATTTTGACCAGCCATTGTCTTTGATTGCTATGCGTTACTTGGAGCCTCCACACATAATTTTGCGGAAAGGGTTAATTGCTGGAATTGAATATCCATTGCTTGCACAACACATGTCGGACTATTTGGCAAGAACACTTTTCTTCACATCGCTTCTTTATCATTCCACATTAGAGCATAGACATGCAGGTACAGTTGTTAATTACAAATCTTGAATATAATGAATGAATATTGTTGGAAGTATTCTATTATTTACTTCATACTGTTCATTTTTCTTGAACTTTATAACTTTGTAAGTATGCATCTAGAAACAATATTTTATTGTTTATTTTGTTTGATCTTTACAACTTTGTCATTGTGTACCTAGGAACAAGATGTTTAAGTTGATGAATATAAAAATTTTGAGAGTTCTTTATCTCCTTATTAACTTGCCTTTTTCAATGCTTTTAAATGTAATTCTCAAATTCTTGACAGATTTTTGAAGGCCCTTCTTTTTTTTTTTTTTTTGCTTTTTTTGGTATTTGCACGGTGATATATATGTTGATCGAGGACAATTAGTTTTCATGCTTCAGAAAGTCAATAGAGATGAGCAGAACCAGGAAATTAGGAGCTTCTCACTTTTATATTTTCTGCATGATAGTTAAATATTGATTGCATAACATGCTGTTGTTCCTTATTTATCATTTATTTGCTTATGTCAACAAGCTTTTGGATTTAATTTTGCAGTTGCGAAATTTTGTGGAAATGCAGAGCTATGCAGGCTCACTGAGCAAGTTGTCTTTTCAGACCCATATAAGGTGGCCCAATATAATCGATGGACTTCGCCACACCTTGACCATGATGTTGAGGCAGTTCGGGATGATGACATTTTAAAGATTGAAGTAGCTGAATTGAAGTCTATGTATAATTGTGTTTCAACACGCTTCTCTTATCATGTTTTCCTTTTGTTTTTAGTCCGTGAACCTTATTTGGTTTTCTTTTTCCTTGTATACTTAGTGCTGCCTAAATCTTGTCACTTAGGTTCTGTGAGAGGGCACAAGCTTTAATTCATGGAGATCTGCATACAAGTTCTGTCATGGTGACTATTGATTCAACACAGGTCATTGATCCAGAATTTGCATTTTATGGACCTATGGGGTTTGACATTGGGGCTTTTTTGGGAAATTTGATTTTGGCCTTCTTTTCCCAAGATGGACATGCTGATAAAGATAACGATCGCATGGTATGCATGAGAAAAGATTATAAATATTTATATTTTCATTTATCACAGGCTTATAATCTTTTTAGATTTTCTGTAGCATGTAGTATGATTTGAAGTAGAAATGCATGTAAGAGTAAGACAACTATTGGAAATTCCTTCAACATCCTTCTTTTTATTGCTTCTGAGGCATTATTTTCTTCCTTCAATTCTGTGTCGCAGTCTATATTAGGTTTTGAGCTATAAACCCATGTTTCAATTTCAAATGTGGTGTCAATATATTATGGCTAATGAGCCAGGTTTTGCATTATATTGCCTGGAATCACTTTGCTAATATTTATGCTAAGATATGACTGATGTGTTAATAAATTTATGCTAATATTTGAATGATGAATAATGATGATATCTTATTGATTATTTTTGGGACCAATTGAATCATTGGTGTCTTACACCATGTTTTAACCAAAGTAAAAGATCATTGTGATGTAAAATTTTGAAGTTAAAATATAGATATTGAAACACAAAAAAGGCAAGTAGATATTTGAAGAAGTTTCATAGCATTGCATCAGAGCATCATTTTATCTTAGCAACATATGCAAGCTTGTTTTTGATATTCTGTCATGTGGACATATGAGATGAGAACTTAAATAGCAGAAGAAACTACAAGGAAGCAATTGGCTAACAACAAGGACGTAAATAGAGGGGTGTCAATAATGTCCCACCATAATTCTGTTTTACTATCAAGTAAGCTGATATATAGATGAGTTTTTTGGGTTTTACAGAGGCTACTATGATGATAAGAGAAAAGTTGATTGCTATCTGGCTAAAAACCAGAGTTGGTGGAACTTGATGGGGATCATGGCCCTGAAAATTTCGTGAGTTTCTCAGTCGTTATGTTGTTCTGAAAAGTCATTAAGAATTTTGGTAAAAAGAAGTAAAACTTCAGAAATTTAGCATACGTAAGCTTGATATTTGTGAGCTACCCTGGTGGAAATTTTGATCATGGAGTAGTTTGGAGGTAATTTTTGCAGCACAGTTATCTTCTTTCTTTAATATTGACATTTTCTGATACTTGTGACTCTTAATAGGTTGCTCAGTTTGCTTTCCAAATGAAAGTTTAACTGCGACGACCAATATTCCCTTTATAACTATTATTAGTATTCTCACAGTGATATCATGTTGCAGGTATATAAACAGTGGATTTTGAGGACGATTGAAGAAACTTGGAATCTTTTTCATCATAAGTTTGTGTCTCTCTGGAATGAAAACTTTGATGGTCATGGTGAGGCATATCTTGTAGATATATATAATAAGCCAGAACTGCAGCTTCTTGTCCAGAAAAAGTACATGACTGATTTATTTCATGATGCTCTTGGATTTGGTGCTGCTAAGATGATAAGGTACTTCTTGTTGAGTTCTATTTCAATCTTGCTTTCAGTCTTATTTCAAGTTTCTCAGTTGTGTAATTTGTTGCTCATGTATGTTAGCAAAATGTGGGACTGTAGGACTTCTCTGTTTTACATTGTGAGTATATAAGTAGTTATATACCACACACAAGGGGATAATGTATATATTCTGAGTCATGCCTTTTATGTTCCTGTCATTCTTCAGTCTACATGCCGAAAAGCTTAGACCTTTTGTTAGCGTAAATAGTGGAGGATCTAGATATCTATAATTTTTCATGCCTGTAGAAGAATGCTATATGAATATTTGGCTTCTCTGGTTCTTTTTCTGATTCAATACACCTTCATTATACTATTTACTTCAATTACAATAGATGCAGTTATGAATCATATAATCTGTCTACTAATAAAGCTCATTTTCATAGTCATAATTAATCTGAAACAGATTTGGAAGAGTTATACGGTAGCTTTCTTGTTAAACTCTCGTTGAGTTTTAGTTTCAGCAGTCCTCAGAAGTAAAAGATTGATTACTTCAAGTTGGAGTGTTTGTGTTTTCTGCTTTCACTACTCCTTGGCTGGCTTTCAGGAGAATCGTTGGGGTAGCTCATGTTGAAGATTTTGAATCAATTAGTGATGAAACCAAGCGGGCATTGTGTGAGCGTCGTGCCCTGGACTGTGCCAAAACAATTCTCAAGGAAAGGCGCAAGTTTGAAACAATAAGCCAAGTCATTTCAGTCGTCCAGGAGATTTCAGCTCCCTAACAGTTGTAGAAAAACACACACACACCAAAAAAAAAAAGCGGTAAAAGAAAAAGTCATTTCTCCTGTTCAGGGTTCCTAGAGCGAATGTCTCATTGTGTATCACTAGTTGTCATATCCTGAAAGTTTCTTGCCCCATGTTGATTCAGATGTGAGTTGAGGTTTATTAGTGTGTATAACTAGATGTAGAAGAGAATTATGCTTGCCATGGTTTTGGTAATGCTTTAAATTATGAGCCCTGGAATAAAATCTGCACGTTATATTTTGGTGCCTTTGTAATGAGATTGCTTTTTATCACCTCGTTCACCATTTGATTGTTTCTACTCCCCTTTCTCTCATATTTACTAATTTCCCACAAGTTCGATCATATTCTTGCCTTGAGCATTCTTTCATGCTCAAGAAACTTCATGTGTAGTAGTAGTAGTAGTAAGTAGTGGATGGTTGATGTCCCTTTGCTAGTCTTGTGGTTTGCTTGTTATGTGACAAGCTCCCATTGATATATCTGGCAAGACATTTATAGTGGTTAATGCATTATTGCATTAATTAGTAGAACTCAGTGTCACATAATTTGCACTGAAACTCATTTTTTTTAAAGCAAAAAATTTGATAAGCATATCATCCAAAAATCAATTTTTTTTGCTTTAATAAATATAAAAAGGGGCCACGTGGGTCCCGGTCATCGCTCGTCATGCTTTGCAACCTTAGATGGAATCACCTGAAGGGCAGTGCTGGGCAATTCCAAAAAATTCGGGCTTATCTCTGTCGCACGAATCCGCTTTCTGCTCCACCTCGGTCTACTTCGTGAATGGGCATCACGCTGTGGGCCCGACTGTACACTACCTGGAATAAGGGAGGCTTTAAAAACGGGTAGATTGAAACATCAAGTTTTATTCCTCGACCGTGGAACACAAGTTTTAAGCTAATTTGATTCCGCTACCGTCGACCTATCATTTTAAGAACCCGGTCAGGTTCACTGAATCGGCCCGCAGCGGTCTCCTCGTTGATCGGCATTCTTTCTCTCTTCGTGTATCTATGGCGGCGGCGGCGGCGGCAGCCGATGGGTTTCGAGCTCTGGACGAGGCATCCTTGGTGGAGTACATCAAGGCTACGCCGGCTCTCCGCGCCCAGTTGGGCGAACGGTTGGAGGGCCTCGCCATTAAGGAAGTCGGCGATGGCAATCTCAACTTCGTCTACATCGTCGCTGGCCCCGCCGGATCCTTTGTCATCAAGCAGGTAGTTTTTCTGAGTGTTTGATTTAGCTTTTGTGCATTGTTTGCTGTATGTGGACTTCATGGCCACTGGGGTTTCGCTTTCGGACCGTATGATCGTGGCTAGATCTGAAAGGAGGAGGGACTGATGCTTGAGAAGATAAGGTTTCCGATGGTATGAATAATTGCTTGTTCGCACTTATTCATTGAAGTAAGGTATAGTGTTTGGAAAATGGATGTTGAAGTAGAGGAAATGCATAAAAGCAAAGCGCATAGGATACAGGCAAAGCCCAGTGATGTTTCCTTGAATACTACGACTTCTGCACGATATAGATGCAGGATTCTTCTGGAGGTCCAGCCCCTAATATCCAACGCTGAGATTGCTAGTCTATCAAAAATTACAGTGGGTGTGTAAAACAGAGATGTCTCCTTTGAGAGTCTGGATGGCTGAAAGTTGTTGGTGAGACAGAGATAAAAGGGAAAATAGAAACTTAAGTTGCAACCATGCTTGTTAACTGGAATATTTTTCTTAACATCGATTTCTCCACTCCATGGATATTCCGTTCCTAGGATCTCTAAGATATGAAATTCTTGGTTGATCTATGGGAACAATATTCAATTCTCAGTAGAATAGAAGGTGTGTTTTAGTGTGAATGACAAAACATTATTTAGAGGCAATAGGAAAGAAGAAACTTGCGAGAGATTGAAATTTGAAGAGAGGAAACTGCCTTATTTGTTTAAGGCTAATGTCATATATTTAGAGAAGTAGAGAAGTTCCAAGCATGAGGCCATGAATTATATTAGGAGGAAAATCCAATCGTAATATTCTTGAAAGATGGTAATATAATGTGTTTCATCAAGATGAGAGTCTGAGTAACATTGTTGGGTTCGTAGTTGTCGATGATTGGTAGACTGTACTTTCATGTTTCTTGCGACCACACTCCTAAAACTTATTATATACTGTTATATCCATTTGCTTGACTTTCTTATAAAGATTTAATTGCTTGGTTGATGTTCATGTCAAAATAATGGTTTATATGCATGTTGCTGAAGATGCTACATGGCGTTGACGTGCTAGCTTTTGAAATGTATCTCTGCTTAATGACTACTTTATTTGGTTTTATATGAATGACATGGCTTGCTTAGAACTGAAAGTGAAAAGTCTTTCAGTTTTTCTGTGTCAAACATTGTTGTTCCTCCCTTTGTAGTGTAAGAACAAAACCATTTCTTGTATTTGATTTATTTTTCTTCGAATATTTCTTCTGCATAATGTATCACTTATATGGAATTTTGCTTTTTGTTTAAAAATTATATGATATTAGCTGTATCCTCCTTTCTACTTTTCTGATCTGAATCAAGTTGATCTCATTTGTCTGCATTGCAAACAGGCTATTCCATATGTTCGCTGCATTGGTACTTCATGGCCTCTGACGAAGGAGCGTGCTTATTTTGAGTCACTAGCCTTAAAAGAGCATGGTAGTCTGTGCCCAAATCATGTGCCACAAGTTTACCATTTTGACCGACCGATGTCTTTGATTGCTATGCGTTACTTGGAGCCTCCGCACATAATTTTGCGGAAAGGGTTAATTGCTGGAATTGAATATCCACTGCTTGCACAACACATGTCGGACTTTTTGGCGAGAACACTTTTCTTCACATCGCTTCTTTATCATGCCACATTAGAGCATAGACATGCAGGTACAATTGTTAATTATAAATCATGACTATAATGAGCGAATATTGTTTGAAGTATTTTATTATTTAGTTCATACTGTTCATTTTGCTTGAACTTTATAACTTCGTTTGTATGCATCTAGAAACAAGATTTTATTGTTTATTTTGCTTGATCTTTAGAAGTTTCTCATTGTGTACCTAGGAACAAGATGTTTAAGTTGATGAATTTAAAAATTTTGAGATTCTTTATCTCCTTATTATCTTGTCTTTTTCAATTCTTTTACTTGTAATTATCAAATTCTTGACAGATTTTTTAAGGCCCTTCTATGTTTTTTTTTCTTTTGCTTCTTTTGGTGTCATCATTTGCACGGTGATATATATGTTGCTTGTTTTGGTGATATATATGTTGATCGAGGACAATTAGTGTTCTTGCTTCAATAAGTCGTAGAGATGAGCAGAACCAGGAAATTAGGTGCTTCTCGCCAGCCACATGCATTCTGTCTTGCAACTATATCATATTATTTTTCTATTTTCTGTTTGATAGATAAATATTGATTGCATAACATGCAGCTGTACCTTTTTTATCATTTATTTGCTTATGTTGACAAGCTTTTGAATTTAATTTTGCAGTTGCGGAATTTTGTGGGAATGCAGAGCTATGCAGGCTCACTGAGCAAGTTGTCTTTTCAGACCCATATAAGGTGGCTCAATATAATCGGTGGACTTCGCCACACCTTGACCATGATGTTGAGGCTGTTCGGGATGATGACATTTTGAAGATTGAAGCAGCTGAATTGAAGTCCATGTATACTTGTGTTTCAACATGCATCTCTTATCACGTTTTCCTTTTGTTTTTAGTCCATGGACCTCATTTGGTTTTCTTTTTCCTTGTATACCTACTGCTGCCTAAATCTTGTCATGTAGGTTCTGTGAGAGGGCACAAGCTTTAATTCATGGAGATCTGCATACTGGTTCTATCATGGTGACTAGTGATTCAACACAGGTCATTGATCCAGAGTTTGCATTTTATGGACCTATGGGGTTCGACATTGGGGCTTTTTTGGGAAATTTGATTTTGGCCTTCTTTTCCCAAGATGGACATGCTGATAAAGATAATGATCGGATGGTATGGATGAGATAAGATTATAAATATTTATATTTTCATTTATCACAGGCTTCTAATCTTTTCTAGATTTGCTGTAGCATGCAGAATAATTTGAAGTAGAAATGCATGTAAGCGTAAGACAACTATTGGAAATTCCTTCAACATCCTTCTTTTTATTGCTTCTGAGGCATTATTTTCTTCAATTCTGTGTCCAAATCTGCAGTCTATATTAGGTTTTGAGCTATAAACCCATGTTTCAATTTCAAATGTGGTGTCAATATATTATGGCTAATGAGCCAGGTTTTGCATTATATTGGCTGGAATCACTTTGCTAATATTTATGCTAAGATATGACTGAAGTGTTAATAAATTTATGCTAATATTTGAATGATGAATAATGATGATATCTTATTGATTATTTTTGGGACCAATTGAATCATTGGTGTGTTACACCATGTTTTAACCAAAGTAAAAGATCATTGTGATGTAAAATTTTGAAGTTAAAATATAGATATAGAAACACAAAAAAGGCAAGTAGATATTTGAAGGAGTTTGGTAGCAGTGCATCAGAGCATCATTTTATCTTAGCAACATATGCAAGCTTGTTTTTGATATTCTGTCATGTGGACATATGAGATGAGAACATAAATAGCAGAAGAAACTACAAGGAAGCAATTGGCTAACAACAAAAACATAAATAGAGGGGTGAGAGAAAATCAATAATGTCCCACCATAATTCTGTTTTACTATCAAGTAAGCTGATATATAGGTGAGTTTCTTGGGTTATACAGAGGCTACTATGATGATAAGAGAAAAGTTGATTGCTATCTGGCTAAAAACCAGAGTTGGTGGAACTTGATGGGGATCATGGCCCTGAAAATTTCGTGAGTTTCTCAGTCGTTATGTTGTTCTGAAAAGTCATTAAGAATTTTGGTAAAAATAAGTAAAACTTCAGAAATTTAGCATACCTAAGCTTGATATTTGTGAGCTACCCTGGTGGAAATTTTGATCATGGAGTAGTTTGGAGGTAATTTTTGCAGCACAGTTATCTTCTTTCTTTGATATTGACATTTTCTGATACTTGTGACTCTTAATAGGTTGCTCAGTTTGCTTTCCAAATGAAAGTTTAACTGCGACGACCAATATTTCCTTTATAACTATTATTAGTATTCTCACGGTGATATCATGTTGCAGGTATATAAACAGTGGATTTTGAGGACAATTGAAGAAACTTGGAATCTTTTTCATCATAAGTTTGTGTCTCTCTGGAATGAAAACTTTGATGGGCATGGTGAGGCATATCTTGTAGATATATATAACAAGCCAGAACTGCAGCTTCTTGTCCAGAAAAAGTACATGACTGATTTATTTCATGATGCTCTTGGATTTGGTGCTGCTAAGATGATAAGGTACTTCTTGTTGAGTTCTATTTTAGTGCGTCATACTTCTATCATCTATGATTAGGATCGGAAAGCTAAGGTCGAAGAAAGTTAATGCATTTTAGTTTCTTGGTTTAAATGCACAAAAAACTATATCATGTTTACTAATGCATGGCCAATGACTCTTCACACGGAATTTACTCCCACTTGATTAAAGCCTTAAGGTCAAAATGACTCACAGGTTAAATATGTTGAGCTTAGCATGAAACTAGTTTATGCATTCCAGTTTCATGGACTGCAAGCACAAGAATCTGTATCATGATTACTAATGCATAATTAATGATACTTTAACAAGGAATTTCCTTCCTCTTGTTCAAAAGTTAAATGGCTGATAGTTCAAATATGTTGTTAATTGTCTTTATTAGAATTATATATAACGGCTAGGTCATTTGATTTTTCAGAGTTGTGGTGAATAGTGAAATCTGAATTTTGTAACCAGTAACATCAAGGTCCTTCGCTGGGCATGTGACCGCATGACAAGGAAATTTTTTACAGATCTGATGATAAATCATGGTACATTGGTTGTATATCGCTATATGCTGGTAACTTAAGGGGCTGCAAGTCTTCAATCTTGCTTTCAATCGTAATTCAAGTTTCTCAGTTGTGTAATTTGTTGCTATATATGTTAGCAAAATGTAAGATCGTAGGACTTTCCTGTTTTACATTGTGAGTACATAAGTAGTTATATACCACACACAAGGGGATAATGTATATCTTCTGAGCCATGCCTTTTATGTTCCTGTCATTCTTCTGTCAACATGCCGAAAAACTTGACCTTTTGTTCGGGTAAATGGTCGAGGATCTAGATATCTATTATTCTTCATGCCTGAAGAAGAATGCTATATGAATATTTGGCTTCTCTGGTTCTTTTTCTGATTCAATACACAGTGAAGTTATGAATCATATATCCTGTCTGCTAATAAAGCTCATTTTCATAGTCATAATTAATCTGAAACAGATTTGGAAGAGTTGTACGTTAGCTTTCTTGTTAAACTCTTGTCGAGTTTTAGTTTCAGCGTTCTTCAGAAGTAAAAGATTGATGAATTCAAGTTTGAATGTTTGTGTTTTCTGCTTTCACTAATCGTTGGCTGGCTTTCAGGAGAATTGTTGGGGTAGCTCATGTTGAAGATTTTGAATCAATTAGTGATGTAACCAAGCGGGCATCGTGTGAACGTCGTGCCCTGGACTGTGCCAAAACAATTCTCAAGGAAAGGCGCAAGTTTGAAACAATAGGCCAAGTCATTTCAGTCGTCCAGGAGATTTCAGCTCCCTAACAGTTGGAGAAATACACAAAAAAAAAATGGAAAAAGAAAAAGGATGCCTGTTTCCCAGTAAAAGCTATAATAAAAAAACGAATGGATGTTTCTCCTGTTCCGGGTTCCTAGAGCACATATCTCATTGTGTAACTGAGAATGATTGCTCTATTACTAGTTGTCATATCCTGAAAGTTTCTTGCCCCATTTTACTCGTGTAATCATTTGGGGGAAAAAAACCAAGTTGATTCAGATGTGAGTTGAGGTTTATAAGTGTGTATAACTAGATGTAGAAAAGAATTATGCTTGCCATGGTTTTGTTAATGCTTTAAATTATGAGCCCTGGAATAAAATCTGCTCGTTATATTTTGGTGCCTTTGTAATGAGATTGCTTTTTATCACCTCATTTTGCATTTGAATGTTTAAACTCCACTCTCTCATAATTACTATTTTCCCACAAGATCCATCGGAAATCATAAACTTGTTTGGTTGAATAAGTTTATTTTGCTCTTCTTGGTATCTGAGAAGCTCTATCGATATATCTGTCAAGCATTATTGCGTAGTTAGTAGAACTCATTGTCACATAATTTGCTCTGAAACTCGTTTTTTTTAAGGCAAAAAAAACTTGATTTTTGGAACAAAAACAAGCAAAATCCACGCCCTAAATCAACTCTAATTTTTCTACCGCATTACTACCACTAAATTACAAGCATACGACCAATGTCTTCTGCTTCTGAACCAAGAAAGAAAATTCGAAATTTTTAGTTTTTATTATAGTTTAAATTACGTATTTTCTTGAATGATATTTTGGAATGCATTGCCTAATTCCTTATATCTCGTTTGGGTTCGACTCGAAATAGACCGCAGCGAACCGGTTGATTTGGATTTGTGGTTAGATTCGACCCGGAGTAGTAGATCCCGATCGACCAGTTTAGGGATTGGGTTAGGATCGGACAATCGAATCGGCATCGGGTTCGGCCCAATTGGCAACCCACAGCTGGCGGTCGACCGAAAGGGTGTCAACAAGCGGTAGCCGGTGAAGGGCGTGTGGATCGCGATCCTCCACCACGGCGGCCCCGAAGAGCGCCATAAAATGACGGCAGCCAAATAGGGCAGGGCCACACCCTCCTCCTCCTCCTCCCACTGCTCCCCGTCCACGATTCCCCAATCGCCGGCTTCCTCGTCCCTCGGATCCTGCAGGTCCGTCTCATTCTTTGTTTTCCCTTGCCCATTCCGATGGTATTTTCTTCATGTTGTTGTTCTTGCTGTGGCTAGATCTATTCGATTATAAGTTCGTCCAATTTATGGTCTTCGTTGCGACTTTTTGGGCACGAGATACCAGTTTTTCCTTTACGAGCCATCAACGTATTTTTCTTCTTGCATCTTGTGATTCATGTGCATGCATATATGTTGCATATGCGATTAGAGATGGATCAAGAATTGCCGGATTCGTGACGGTTCCTCGCTTTTGTTGTATATATATACTATTAACTTAGACTCCTGATAATCTAATGACGGCAGTGGAGAACTTTTGGAACTGCAGATTGCTGCTAGAAGAGGCGGCTTGTTCGGTTGACTTTCTATTCTCGGGGTTACCATTCGTTTAGGCGTGTTTTAGGTAAATAGTGCTACTAAATGAGGAAAACAATTCTCTCTCTAAAAAGTAGAAAAGAGCTCGAAATGAATGTAAATTTTCAAACTAATCTGCATACTTTGACCAGGGCATTGAGGTCATTAGTGATCATGTTGATGTCTCATCTTTCTTGTCCAAGAATGCGAGTCTGTGAATGATCCTGATGTAGGTGAATTATTCTAGAAATATTTTGGCAATTTTTATTCAAACCAACATGTCCAAAGAACAAAAAGATGATATCATAATTTATAATATTTTGCATTATAAATGATGCTACTGAATGTTTCTTTTGTTTCTTTCTTAATTATGCATTGGTTTCAAGGTGGATTTATGCAATATTGCCTTCACAAAATGGTGTGTCTCATCTCATGTATCTGTCATATATCTAGTCTTCTTATTTATGTTTTCTTGTTTTTCAGTGGTGAAGCTTCAAGCCTGCGAGGCAATCGATGGCTGCTGGAAGAGGCATCAGCCAGCTGCTGAGGAAGCACCTTCAGTTCCAGTCATCAGTAATCGTCTCTTTTTAGACTCATTTTTAAATATCTTTACCTTTTCAATTAGGTTTGTCATATGTTAGCTGGCCATTTCCTTTGTTTTTTTCAAACTTTGCCAAATTGAGGGTCTAATGAGAAAGTGATGTGTTGCTTCATTCCTTGGTTAGACCATATATAGGCGTCAAACATTTGAATGAGAACTTGCAACTATTCAGATTATAATTATATATTAGCTGAGTTATTTAATGTCATTTTGGTTTGTTCGTCTAGTTTTTTGCTTAAGGCTTATTGAAGTATAGTTAGATCAGATAAGCTAGTATTAATGGCTGTTGTGTTGATCTTGTATCTCCTATAATTTTTCTTTTTTTAGCTATAAGTATTTTTTTATTAATTTTTGGTATAACAGTTGGTGATATACATTTATATTATCACTCATTACAGAAATATAACATGTGAAATATGATGGTTTACTGAGACTAGTTTTGGTGTCATACATTTATATTATCACTCAATACAGAAATATAACACGTGAAATATGATGGTTTATTGAGACTAGTGATTTAAAAAGCACTAGGCGCGCCAAAAAGCGTTAAGGTCCCAAAATGCTTGAGGGCTAGGCGCTCGCCCAAGCGAAGCAAGGCGCTTTGAAATATTAAAATATAAAAGAACTGTTAACAATAGTTAGAAGAGGAGAAAAGAGTCATCGACAATGGAAAGTGGGGAAGGAGAGGGCAACGGTGACAGAGAAACTTTTAGACGACGGTGATGGTGTCAAAGGAAGCTGCAGACGATAGCAGCGGCGGAGGAGGCTGTGGATAACAACAATGACGACGGAGGAAGCTATGGATGGCAGCAGCGATAGTGGCGAAAGCTCTGACGACAGCAGCGGCAGCAGTGGAAGCTACGAACGGTGACGTCGTGGACGGAGGAAGCTTCAGAGGTGTCCGTTGATGGAGGAGGAAGCTGCGGTCCTCTCTCTCGACAGTGGAAGGAGTTGCACTTGGAAGCAACAACGGTGAAAGGAACTGTCCACTGAAGCTAGGCCGTCGGACCTGTCCGTCGGCGACAGAGGAAGCCTCGGTCCTGTGCATTGTCGGCGGAGGCAGAGGAAACATAGACGGCGGAGGCAGAAGTTGCACTAGAGTTGATAGCTCGGGGTTGTGCAGGGGTGCGAGGCATGGGTTTTATGTGTACAATAAAAGAAAGTGGCTAGTTGGTTCAATCGAACCAACTAGCTATTGTTCAATCGAACCAAACTTAAAAGTTTGGTTCGCTTGCTTCATCTGAATCGGGCGCTCATTGCTTGGATTTAGGCTAGCTCCTAGGTGGTGCTTCATTGAAGAGAGCTGCTTGGTCGACCCTTATGGCGCTCGGGCCTCGCCTTATCTCACTCCAGTGCCCAAGCGCCTATTTAAACCAGTGATTGAGATTAGTTTTGGTGTTATACATTTCTATTATCACTCAATACAGAAATATGACATGTGAAATATGATGGTTTACTGAGACTAGTTTTGTTACATTTCCCATATCACATCATTTGTTCTTGCACATATCATGTACTAATTAGGATATTAACTTCTTGCTTAGAAAATGAATTTAACATGATCTCATTACATTTGAAGTTCTAATTAGTTTGCAGTTTCTTTTGTGAAAGAAATGAAAAAAATCTTACAGTTCTAAGTTTAAATTCATGTTCTTATAAGAAGAATAGTTTAGTTCAATTCCTCATTTTTTTAACCGTATCTAGAAAGTGGCAAGTCTTTTATATTTAGTTGCTTGATGCAGTGCTCAGTCAAATTGCAGCAGGGATTAAGTAATTTGTTGGCATCCTTGCCATCATTCCTTAAAAGTTTACTATGATGAACAGGAGAAAGGAGTCATTTTATATTTTTGCATTATTTCTTAAGCTTCTGTTGTTATTGTAGGAGTTATAGTGGTCTGGGGGATGTCCATAGATGGTTGGTTCACATATGCGTTTTGAGAACACATATTTCAGTGGCTAATTTTTACAATTATAACTCAAATCAGGATTTAAAGTTGAAAAAAATCAATTAAATTAGTTATCTTTTGCTTGATGTTCTTGGAAAATTTTTCTACATAAGTTTGCCTAAGAAAGTCATCAACTTGGAAGTTCTCCTTAGTTTCTATTACAGACGCCCTCTTCATACGTGGACCTTCTTGGTTGGTTTTCACTGGAAAGAGACTTCTAGCCAGTCATTCGTTGGAGCTGATGTTCCCTCTAGGTCTCTTTCACAGTTTTCTGTTTTGCCAAAACTGAAAATCAACTCTAAACCTATAGTTCCTGAAACACAGGTCTTGAGGAACCATAGTTTGGTTGCAATTTACACTTGTATAGTTTCATAGTTGCTAATGATTATATTGTGAGCTACAATCTCTTAATATTACTTAACAGTGAAGTATCTGCTGATTTCCGCTTGCTTGTTATGTATGTAGATTTTGATGCAAGTATCGTTGAACAAACTTTTCTTGTTGATTTTAAAAAAATAGCATTGTTTCTTATGACCTCATTCTCCTCTATGCAGGTTCCATCTTTTATTTCATCAATAAAGCATGAAGAGGCTATTGGATCAGCTGGTATCAAACCATTAAGAGTGTTTGCATTACTTGGAGTTGGTTTTTCTGGTGCTTTAGCCTTTGCTTCACTAGCGTCTGCTGATGAAGCAGAGCATGGTTTACCAGCCCCGAGTTACCCATGGCCACACGATGGTATCCTTAGCTCTTATGACCATGCATCGTAAGTAGCATCGGCCGAGTTATTTTTATGTTTCTCAAAACTTTCATTTTTTTTCAAGATTAACTTTTCCTTTTTTCTTATATGATAATGTAAACCATTGATGTGCTTGGAGTTCTGTAATATGGCAAACTTTGAAAAGATTGATTGTATAACTGTAATAGTTTACCTTTTAAATTCCTTGCTGGATGACTTTCATTTTTTTCCTATATAATTTTGTATCTTACAAATAATTATCATGGTCCTTATGAATTTATGAATTCAAACCTTGTTTCTTCTGTACAATTATACTGTTTGGAATATGTGAATAATCTTTTAAATGAAATTAAATTGCAAGTTACTCACCATGACTGATGTAGCCCTTATATTTTGTACAATATGGTATGAGCAGAATTCGGCGAGGTCACCAAGTATACCAACAAGTATGTGCTTCTTGTCATTCCATGTCACTGATTTCATTTCGGGACCTTGTTGGTGTGGCATACACT